ATCCCCCCCCAGTGGTTTCATGAATGTGATAAACTTAAAACCAAAACTTAAAACCAAAAAAAGAAGATACTTAAGTATGTTTTGCTTGTGTAAAAGAAGAAGTGTACCATATTTTCAGTACCTGCAAGCTCAGCCATTTCAGTCATGAGTCTTCTTGAAATCTCGCCAGATTAGTTCTCCCCAGCTAGCTTCTCTTTGCCAAACCTTAGCCTGGTGGTACAAACTGCATGAATTTTAGGATGGAAGAGAATTTTCAAGGCTGTGTAATGGCAGAACACTATTGAACCGACATGCCTTGGAGTCATTGCATACAGAAGATTCCTTTTATTCTCACCACTTAAGATGCAGCAGTGATTTGCTCAAGGCCACCGTGTGGCTGAGGGAGGATTTCAGCCCGTACATGCAACAGCAGGTCCCACTATAAACATCCTAAACGGAACAGATTGTGCAGATACAATCACATGATGAAACATTGATCTTTCCATGTGCAACCAAAACAAGATTGTACAGTTGGAGTAAATCTTTTTCAGGAAATCAAAGAGATACATGTTCCCAGATTTTTTCTGGTAACTCATCTTCCACTGCAAATAAGCATTTTTGGCATTCACACTTTATTCAAAATTCTTATGTTACCCTTACAAGTAAGGGTCACTTACCAACAAGCGGTCATAACCCCCCCCCCCATCGCCACCCTGCTATATTGGTGAGCCGGCAGCGATTCTCGTGATCGCAGCAGCCTCCATAGCAACTGAAACTGCAGCCAGCCACTTATCTGTGGTTGTTGCCCAGTTCAGACATTACGTTTTCTTATGTCAACATGTACCTAAGAAAGGCTAAAGGAGGGGGGGGGGAATATTTCATGTAAACAGGCCTCGCGTTTAAAGTAAAAGCTTTTTATACCGCAGGGAACTAAGATATTCAAAATCATAAATAAAAATTCAAGGATTCTTGCTACCTGGACTGTGCTATATCAGAACCCATCTCTGGCACTTCCAACATTCCTAATTGCAAGTCCCCAGCAGAAAAGAATTTCAACATACTTTCTTTAAAAAGAGGTTGATATCCTTGTCCTATTCTTCCTACATAAAGTGGCATGAGAACCAGTCTCCCCACACAGGTCCACACTTACCTTCACCAGCAGAATGGCAGTATGAATCACCACAACATTCTCTGGGCCTCAGGCTTCTAACAGGAAAGTGGCATGGTTTTTACTTTCAAGGAATGCCAAGTTTCATACCTCTGGGAAAACTTCTAGCTCTCCTATTTATATTGCACTTTTAACTTGCGAAGGTCTTTTCAGTCTTCGTCAACTCAACGACATTCATTAGAGGAACCACTAAGAGGCTGTTACCTCCTCCCCCTTCCTATTTTCTTTATTGGCTTCTGAGTATTTGAAACCCCAAACCAGCTTCGCTGGATAAAAGACTCCCAGATACTCCCCATCCCTATTAAAACTAGCTGATCATTCTCCTCAAAACAAAATTCAGTGATATATGGAGTTCTGTTTACCACAGATTTTCAGTGTTTGGATATTAAACTGAAGAACACCAGCAAGCCTCAAAGATAACTGAACATAGTTGCTTAACAAGAACCACCTGCATGGATTACATTTAATAGACATTTATTACTTTTTTAAATAGCTATGAATTTCCTGAAAGGATTTGAGTGTTTTTGTAAAGGAACACTCCTTACACTTCTGCCAGTGGAAGTCAGAATACTATGAAGGTGCCCCTTCAAATACAATTTTAACTTCATCATGAATAGTGCCAGGATGACAAACAAAGTTACACACACTGCGTATGGCATGGGACCAATGGCATCATTTGCAGACTGTTACAATTTATTCTAACAGAGTAAGACATACATTGCTAGGCAGACCCTTTAAACAAGAACTTATTTATTCACAATTCAGATAAAGTTTAAAGACACAAACAGAAATAAAAATGACAAACTGGAGAAAAAAAGATTTTTAGTGACACAAAATGAGTTTTGCAGCCAGTGCTCTATACCTTTTAAAATGTTACCCCAAACACAGCAGATGTGGAACCCCAATCGATCCCAAAATGAGAAACTCCTATTTACTATTTCCCTTTGAAAGCAAACTGGGAATGGGAAAGTCACTTTTGCTTCTTTATCTATGGTCGTGTGAATGAAATCTTTCAGATTCTGCGTCAAGCAAACAATTCGACAAAGTGTTTTTGAAGGAGCAACTTGCTTCGTCCTCTCCGAGCTTTGCTTAGGAGACAGTCAGTATCGGCGGATTTTGACACAATTTTGAAACTCTGATCCTCTGATGCCAGAAACGAGAGGTCAGAGCAATGTGACACTCGCAGCCTGTAAGTATCCTTGGAGAAACTGTAAAGCTTCCGCATTCAGGCTTGTGCTCAGCATTGAGGGCACCTTAAAACACAAGACAGGTATTAACGCATGCATTCAAAACCACACTGTTAATGGCAGCTTCAGCTTGATGAGAACCATTATGCTGTACAACCTGGCTTCTCTGGTGGCAAAGCATTAAGGAACATGTGCTGCACTATGGCAATAGTTGACAGGTTTTGCCTACTCATTGAGGCACCGCCAGTAGCATGTGCTGCACACTATGACAATAGTTGACAGGTATTGCTTTTGCCTACTCATTGAGGCACCGCCAGTTTAGGCCACTTCTGTCTGTGCTGAATCTTGTTTCCAGTCATAAAGGCCCAGACGCCTCCTGTAATGTTTCCAGCCTCTTCGGCACGAAGGCAGTGACAGCGTTATGTCAGCAGAAGGGTAAGAGAGGGTAAGAAGAGAAACAAGGAATAGGGGGTATTGTGTCTTCCGTACAATGCTTTTGCCTGCTTGTCCCTTCCCTTACCATCCAAAAAACAGGTTGCTTACCTGTAACTGATGATCTTTGAGTGGTCATCTGTGCAGTACCACACATGGGTTGGGCACCTGCGCACAACCTTGACCAGAGAAACTTCAAGAGCTTTGCCTCAGAAAGC